GACTACAAATACCACTTCAGCATTAGGGAGGCCCAGCTGCAGAAGAAATGGCACAGCCACTCTTCCAACATACAGAAAACAGGGGTTCTCATAAACTGCTAGCAGCACCCTCCAGTGGCTCATTGCATAGGATTGAACAAAAGACATTTTAAGTTCTGCAGTGCTGGCAAAACACAGCCACTCGTCTTATTTAACATCCGGGGAGAAAATGACAGGACAAAAAAAGAGAGCACAACATACTAGAAATGCCACAGAATTTGTTAGCGAATCATTACATCAAAACAACCAACAGGCCTGTAAGGAGCAACGTCTCTTTTCTCCCCTAGAACTTTAGGTAATAATCACAGGAAGCAAGAACAAAATAAACCCTAGTTTGGCAGGAAAATATGTTCTACACTGCACATAGAAGAGGTCCCTACACAAGGACACTGCATAATAAGATGAAAAATGGCACCAACGCATTGATTGCTCCCTATGAGACCACCTTTCATTTTGCAGTCTCTGCCATCCTTGACTAGACCAACTTTGCACTCTTGTGCGAGTATCCCACGGCCCCCTGATTATTCTCTACTAATTGATTCAGGCATCTATCCCATCAGTTCACACAGAAAAGATTTCCCTCAACACATAGAGGAGGACGCCCATTGCAACTGCTAGCCTTCAGTCTAACAAACTCTTTGGATTCTCTTGTTCCACCTTGAGACGAGACAGAGGCAGATATTATGGCAATGATTTCAACCTGATACTCTTCATGTAGATGCATGTAGACTCTCAATATCCACAGCTACCATGTCTCTAGAAAAAGAAGTCTTAGTCACTATTCCATTGTAACAAAACACAAACAATGCATAGGACAATGTCAGAGCTTTTATTGAACGGTCTCTTTGGGATAGAGCTGCCTCAGAAGAAACAAAGAGCAGAGTCTTGAGCATTGGAAACCGTGGCTTAACAGACAGCAGGGCAGCAAATTGTATGACTGTCTGCTCTGGAGGTATGTAAATCTGCCTGGAGAGGCTGGTCAATACCTCACTGAAGAACATCTGGGGAAATCCTGGGTTTTGCTGATAGTCAAAGGTTACAATCTCTTTTCTGATCTTGTCCATCAACCTGTACCTGTAGGACAGCAAGGGAAAACATAGACAGTGGAACTGGCAACAGACAGCAGGAGCCCATAGCCCCTTAATCTGGAGATACACTTAAGTATTTGGTCAGGAGAAACAGTGAATGATATCCTTGATTGCTTAGACCATCCTCATGCCCTCCCTGATGTTGCATTCTCTGTGACAGTAAGGAAGGAGACTGTTAATTTTTTTGTGAGCATATTTCACCTTGCAGTGAGAGATACTGTGTCCAGTGTATTGCCCAGTGTATAGAAATTTTAATTTTGCAAACCAAAGGTGCTCCTGTAGAGCAGTTGTAATGAAGCACCTGATCTTTGCCAATTGAAGGACTCTCTCGGTATTTAGGAATGAGAACTTCTACTGTTGGGTGTGGCAAATGCTAAAACACAGCCCATGCAAATGTGTCTTATGTATATGGAAAAGAGATCGGGAAAAGGTATGGGAAAGAGATGCAGTTTAAGATATGTTCCTCATTTCCATGCTTACCTGTGTACAATGCTGTCGTCTTTCAACTTGGAAACAGAATTTGGTGCTGGACAAATGTGTCTGGAATGCCAAGATAAGTACCTATTGAGGGTTCTAGGCAAAATTGGTTAGTAATGTTCTCATATGTGTTGCAAGGTCAGGAGGTTTTGTGAACCAACCTTCCTTTTTGTGCAGAATGTCTTTTCTCCATATGTTCCCATCATTCTTCCATCTGAGCTCTCTTTGCATAATGTCAGGCTAAAGATACGGCCCATGCTGCGCACTTATTCTAAGACATGATATTTGTCTGAGGCGGATATAAGTTAGGTTAATCTTGCGAGGTGAACTACAAGTACTAAACACTGGCATATTGATATCAGTAAGGCTGTTGTCAACACTGGGATAGCAATTTCTGATTTTTTTTATTTCTCCCACTGAAGTCAATGAAAAGGGAAATTTCATGAACCAAGTTTTGGACTGACTGGTAGAATATTGTACACAGAAGCGAATGTGCCCATCAACTGAAGGGAGATTGTACCCAGCCAAAGCATTCTCCTCCCTTCATATGTCTACATGGATAGCCATGGTGACAATGTTTTACCAGCATTGTACCTATCATATATCTTCCATTCCTTTGGTACCATAGATCTTAAAACCTCTTATCTCATTATTATTACTTTTGAGGGCTTCATTTGTTGGATATCCAGGAAGCCCAATTCAGCTTATCACTTGAACTATCTTCACTTAAGTTATAAAAATTGCATAGACAAAAACAGATGGAACAACAGAATTACAATTTGGAAACAGTTATAAATTTGTAAAGTTTGAAATAACTCTATTTACTTGTCCTTATGTTTCTATTTTCTCCTCTGATTATACATTATTTTTAATCATTTTATATAGTAAAATTGCACAGAGTAAGGAGAATTAAATGCTCCAATATTATTCTTCAGTCCAACAATGGCCAGAAACCCATAAGAAAGCACAAATATGACATCAAGAGCAATATTTATTAATACTATGGAACACAGCTACTGAAAATGGAGATTCTAGTTTCTTGGCTGACATTTATTAACAGATCCATCTTTGATTTATTTATTTAATATTTTAAATCCCAGGCCTAGTAGACACATCTCATGCAAATAATTATATTGTTTTACAAAGTTATTTACTCTTGTTCTCATCACCCCCATTTAGAGAATTTCTCAGCTTTAATGCATTTAACAAAATAACAGAGTTGGAAGGGACCTTGGAGGTCCTCTAGACCAACCCCCTGCTCAGGCATTTGTTTATTAGCATTTATATACCACATGCTAAGTTCATCATATATTTCCGTGCCCTTTTTATCAATTTTTCTTCTAGGACTATATTACTGGAATTAAAATTTAGATAAAATAACTATGGAACACAAGAGTACACAATCAAATCTATAATGTGTTACAGGAGACAAAAGTTGCACTTTTCACTGTGAAACAGCACACAGCTGGGAAGAAGGCATGACCCAATCTATAAATCTTGTAACATTGTCACTTGCACAGGAAATCAGTTTCATGTTTTTTCCAAAAATATGTGCAGGAAACTACAGTTGTACAAACTCTGAAAGCTGCTCAAACCTGCGCAGTCAACCTCTTGAATCACACTGGAAATTTTGGTGGGAGGATGCAGCAATATATTATTCTTAGAATTTGTATTCCATAAGTGTGATAAAGCATTGAAAATGGTGATTGTCAGTATATTTATTTTATATTTAGAGGCCACCTGGCTCTGGGCTATGAAAAGTGCAACTTCTGCTTACATTTTAAAAGTAAGGAACAAAAACCCCAGATGTCTATACATTAAATCATGGCAACTGGATTTCTTTTCTTGTTGATTCAAACCATTTTGCCGCTTATCCAAGTAGCTTCTTCAGCCTGAGAAAACTGGGTAGGAGGAACCCCTGGAGGACATATGCAGTGTCCCCCAAACTAACTTGCTCAGACTGAAGAAACTCTTGGAAAAGCAGAAAAACATTTTGAACCAACAAGAAAATAAGTCCCGTTACTATGACTCAACTTCCAGACAACTCGGTCTGGATGATTGAGAATTTTGACTATAAAAACAGAAGAAATAGTTCATGAACGTCTGTAATGCTCACCCCAGGAGAAACAAATTAGGGCTCAGTAGCTACCTATCTTCAGGCCTAGGAGTAAAGCCAAGTTTTCAAAGACTTTCGGAAGATGCTTAGGATGGAACACATAAAGATCTCTGGGAATGCTGTTCCAGAGCCAAAGGACAAATCTAAGGCTTGTTTTGTATAGAAATACAGACTGTCAATCTAAACATGTATTTGCTCACTTTTGCCAATTCCTTTGACACACTTCTCTTTTAAGACCATTGTTTCAACTTTCCATTCCTGTCCAATTATTGTGCATATCTGTTATCACACTATTTGTACTGAGGGAATATATCACTTAGTATCTTCACCTGCTTGATCAATTTGGACCATTTTATAAACTTCTCAATGTTCATACAACCTGCACAACTACTATGTGCTAACAGATTTAAGAAGAAACGTCTTGCCTTTACCCTGGACACAATTCTATCTCTGGCATACTTCCTTTCCAAAACCAAACAGCTTTTCACTTGTATGCCAGCTAGTTTAGCTTTACATTTCTTTCCTAATATCATGCATATTCAATAGTTCCCAATATCAGTGGCACCTACATTGGAGCACAATGGGCAAGAAAGTGGACATGATCTGAACCACATCCCTTTTGTATGTATGCACAATCCTCAATGCATGTAGAAAAGGATGGGGCTGGGGTTGGCACCAATTTGAACCTTCTGAACCACCCCACACAGATACTACTGTTTAATATTCTACTATTGTACATTGTATTCAGAGAACATACTATTTAGTATCTTCTTTTCTGACCTGTAACAATTTTTATAATTTCTCCACATCCATAAAACTTGCATGAGGACCAAGGCAAGCTGTTGGCAGCTGTTAGGGGTGCTAACAGAAGCATCAAGTTAGCGATAGCAGCCTTCTTCTCAGCACCCAGTGAGACAGACCTAAATCCTCTCCACTTCAGTGCTACAATACAGGAACTTTTTTTTCATATTAGCTTGGATAGTTTTATCAATGTACAGAATGAAATCTACATAGCAACCCCTAGGCTGAATACAGAAGCAAAGAAAACATGAAACCTGATTAAGCTCTGTCTAAAAGCATAACAAATCAACTTTACATTTGAGCTTTCTTCATTAATCAGGCCCTTAAAACAGTATTTAGGTATCGAGGAAAAACAGGCCAATGGGCTGCAATCTGGAGGAACAATAGAGTACTCTGTATTCTGTTTCCACAATTCCAGCTGGTCTGCCTAGACAAGCCCTCCTCCTCCCACCTCTCAGCAAGGTTGGTGGCTTACTCACTTCTTCTGGAAGGCCAAAAGGAGTCTTGGATCAAGAATATTCTCTTCAGGTTCCCAGCTGTTGTGCCTAGAAAAGAGGAAAATCACTCACTACTATACCCTGCTTTCTTACAACATACGATTCACAATTAGAGATTTTGTTTATTATAGGACTGCATTTTGAGGCAAAGCCTATCCAAAGCGCACTACACACTTACTACAACTCCCATAACCCTCAACATGGAAGCACTGCTGCCCTGCTGGCTATGAGTAACGAGAGCTGCAATTTAATCAAACCAGAGGGCATCAGAGGGAAAGCTGGCTTGAAAGTAATAATTAATTAAAGACTGTCTTGGCCAGGGGACCTAAGACAACTTGCTGAATAGTAATAAGCACTAGTTTAATTCTGGGATGAAATTTAATTTTTTTGCAGCCATTCAATGAAAAGTTTGTGCTTTATGACTGGACCCGTTCAATTTGCTTAATGGAAAAGGCATGGGAGGCAATCAGGGAAAGAAAAAAAAAGAGCACACTGAGATGCATTATGGATAACTTGGGCACGTGTGTGTGGAGGGGGGCCTGGGGTGTAAGAAGAGAAGTCAAGCAGGAAAAGGATAAAAGCAGAGGGAAAGTCTGGCTTTCAGGAGCAGCTGGCAGGAGGGGTAAAAGGAGAGGCTCCTTTTTGAGCCTGACAACCCTTTCCCCCTTCTTCTGCAAGTGGGGCGGGCTGGGGGTGGGTGGGCAAAGCCTGCATGCATGAGCGGGAAGATCGGGGTTTCAAGAAGCGGGTCAACGGAGAGCAAAGGAAGCTTTTGCTATTTCTGTGGAGGCGGCTTTACACTTCTCCAGGGCTCCCCCCACCCGACCCCTTTACAACCAGGGAGACGAAAGGCTTAAGAGAAGTTCGTTCTTTAGCAGAAACGGCAAAAGCAACACATGGAAGCCAAGCAGGGAAATTTACTCAAAGCCGGCACCGGCAGAGCGACCCCCAATAAAGAAACAGGCGCAAAAATTTTAACTAATTACTAAGTAAACAAAAAAAAAGGTCGGACGAGAGGAAATGCTCCCGGGGGAAGAATACAACAAAACAAAACAAAACAAAAACACCCGCAAGAAACGAAGTAACTTCTAAGCTCTCGCAAGTCCAGCCGAGGTTGCAGGCGGTCGGCCCCCCCCCCCCCCCGACTCTCTCCCCGCGCGCGCTTCCCCAGTCCCGGACTTTCCGCCAGTCCCTTTTCCGCTTCGGCTGGCGGTTTTGCAGCCGCGCCGCCCGGGTCTTGTTTTCGCCCGAGTCCCATCATCCCCAAGCCCCTCAAGCCCCGCCCTGGAGCCCCTCAGCTCAACGGCTGGCTTGGCGCTCAGCTGCTCGCTTCATTGTCCGACTCACTTGGAAGACCAGCCTCTCCACTTCACCAAATACTCCAGCTTGCCCTGTGTGGAGAGAGAGGGAGGGGGAGAGAGGGAGGGGGGGGTTGGGAGGGGAAAAAAAAAAGAGAGAGAGAAAGAGGCGCGTTAGAGAGGGAGCCGAGGCGTCGGGCGACGGCGTCGCTGCTGCTTTTTGCTGCCCGCCGCCTCGCTTGCCGCCCACCTTGCGAAGCCGCTTGCTGAGGATGCACTCGGCGGCGAAGACTTGCTCTCCCACGCTGCTCAGCTCCTCCATGGCGCCCGACTGGCTCCGCTCGTCTCCCTCCTCCTCGGCCACCGCCTCCGCTTCTTCCGCCAACACTGACTTGCTCTTAGCGGAGCCAGCGTTGTGCCCGAACAAGGCTTAGAGTCCGCGGGAGCGCGCGCTCCCCCTCGCCCGCCGCCGCCGCCGTTCCCCCCACTTTCGGCGGCAACGCGCGCACCTAACACCCCCCCCCCCCCCCCCCCCCCCCCCCCCCCCTTCCCGCGACGCCCAGAGCTTCACTTCGAGCGCACACAATGCAACGCGCGCGCAACCGGCTCCGCCTTCCCACGCCCTGCTCAGGGGCTCCCCAAATTCCCGGTTAGCCAATCCGACGGGGGCGAGGCGGGGCTTTGAGAGCTTGTGGCGGAGAAAGGGAAGCCGAGCTTCGCCTATTGTTTCTTGCGTCGCTTTCTGGGTCTCTCGACGGCGGAGTTGCTGAAGACTTAAGAGAGAGTGGACGAAAGAACTGAGTTGGGAGAGAGGTGTTGGGGGTTGGGGGTGGTTTCTTCCTGAAGTGTAAACCTCGAGAGAAGAAGGACGCTTGCCTGGCTCAGCCCAGATTCGTGGGACCCGCCAGCGACGTTCTTCAGGGCTCTTAAAACGTGTTGGCCGCGCCAGAAATCGGCTCTCGAATAAGTGGAAATGTTTCGAGGGGTTTCGACTTTTCAGCGCTCAACAAGCCTTCGAAGCTTGTTGATTTAGAACGCCGGTTAAACCCGGGAATCGAAATTCTTTTCATCCGGTTGCGGGAATTCTAAGAACGGCTCCTCTTCATTATTTCGTAATGCGCGCCAGAAAAGTGCTACCTTTCATCCTCGCTCTTCATTTTCTCACGACTCTTTTAAGAGAGAAAAGTCGAATCCAACTTCATCTCTGGCCTCCTACGGGGATGATTTCTCAGGGGTTTTTTTGGTGCAGCCATCTATCCTGGAGTGCTCAGACGGTCTTCCGTCCTAATCCGTAGCGGGACCCCCTTACTTGGCTTGGATTTAGGCGTCTGGAATCACCCAACGGACAAATGATCTCGTCAGGAAATCAGTCAAGAAATACAACAGTGTTCAAAAATTAAATTTATGATCCCCCCCCCTTTATTGTTTGAATTAAATGTTTGAAAAGAAGGCTTTCGAGAAAGGGAAAAGAAAACAAATATAAGTTTCTACAGCTTTCATCAGCTTCAGCATTGCTGAGAAACAAGTATGGTAACTTCAATGAGGTGCTGCGGAATAATTGAGTTGTAAATCATGAGCTGAAAAATTGGATTTTCTCCTGAAGTCTGAGGATGATGAATTTAGATGGAAGCTGGATAGGTGAAATCGAGCATAGATAATTTCATAATATTTTGACATGGGATCCTCCTGGAACAAATAATCAATTGTCTGCAGATACATAAGTCAAATAATCAAGATTGGATGAATTTTGGCACTGTCATGTAGCAAAAAAAGTGTCAGAGGGCTGTATCCTCTTGATTTGCCTTTAAAAAAAAATGCAAAAGTTCACAAAAAACTCCCTGATCACCATGGATCTGGCAGTGCTATAAGATAAATACTTTGATCTGAGACACAGATCCTCATTTTTTTTTCAAGAACTCCATTATTAACAGATCATATCAATTTTATGGGTAAGATGCTACAGTTAGGAAGCAGATTTAACATTTCCCTGTCATAAAAATTATGTACATAACTAACATGGGATCCACATGAAGTCATTATCAAATCACAGATCACATCTTGGCGTGCAGTCATGTCATGATGCAAAAATGTGGATTCAACTCAAAATTTTCATTTTAATGTTAAGTATTTTAAGGGAATGCACATAAAATCAGTGTCAGCACATAAAAGCACATAAAATTAGATATAGTATGACTACATGCATTGAACTTTAGCCATCAAGCATCTAATTATTTCATCAACTTATTTTAAAAAATGGATCCTCTTGATTGTGCATAAATTCTATAGGTGATTCCCATGAAACCATCATTAGATCATATCCATTACATTGAAGGTGCCTTCAAAATTTTGTATCCAATGGTTCTGTCACCACCATGCCATAAAAACATAGATGTGATGTATAGATCTTAACAGAACCACATGTTTTTTTTTATCTGCAATCCTCATGAAACCACAATCACTTTAATTACACCCATTTACACATAGGAACCCTTTTGGAGGTGCTATATCACTAAAATGTGGAGATGAGTCATGGAGCTTTGTGGACTAAAGTGATTTCACATGGGATTCTCATAAAACTAACATAAAATCAGAGATATTTGCAGACAATGAGTCCATCACAATCACACTTTCAAAATTTGGAGTCACCAGGACCCCAAAATGAGACAGATTGCTATTCGATTTACAGAATTAATGTCTGTAAGACATTGATAAGACATTGATTTAATGTCTTATCAAATAATATGTTGCATCTGTTAGAGTTTAGTGCAGTTAGACAATAAAAAAACCTGTAGATTTTTGTGCCAGAAAACCATGAACCCAAATCATTGGATCAACTTAATTACACATGGTTTCTACAGGTGATTCACAAGCAAGAACAATAAAATCCATGTTACCATGTGTTAAAGCTATGGATCAGATAGGTGCTGGCATTGCTTTGGTACAAAAATAGGGATCTGCATTCACACAATTTTCACATGGGATTTTCAGGACACCAGAATTAAATCACAATTGCTCTAGATGACATGATTATCATGAATCCTTCATTTTGTGATACTGGCATGGTGTAAAAATATGAATCCAAAGTATGGATCCTCTACAAATGATACCTAGATTCAGCTAGATCCAGCATCAAATTATAGGTACCGGTATATTCATCTGCACACAGAATCCCTACAATCTGGATTTGAAGGTTTTAATAACCTTGTACACAAATTCAGATCTGAAGTGATAAACTTCATGTAACCATCTGATTGTACAAGGGATTTGTCTGCACAGAATAATCACAAATTCACTACTTAAGGTGCCAAAGTAGCAATAAAATAATACAAGGTATAAATTCAAGGGAGGGATACAAATAATTTCATTCTTTTTCCATGGGATCTGCCTGAATCTAATGCTAAAATATGTATCCTGTATACCTGAAGTTTAGTGAGAAATAAAAAGTCAAATCTATGTTTCAGTTATTCATTTGGCACAAATGATGTGATCTATTAACTGACAATGATTTCATACAGATTCCTTAAAACAATAATATGAATCTGTGATGCATCACATCCATGGCTTTTGCATATGATAGTTTTGAAAATCCAGATGCATGGTTATGATGACTTGTACTGATTTGCACATGGGATCTCTCTGGATCTGATATAAAAACATGCATTATATACACATAAAAATAAATAAGAGTAAAAATGGTAGATCTGCAATTCAATATCTCATTCTTGTTGACAGATTCATAACCTGTCATATGAAAGTTGATTCTTAAAAAAACATATCTAAAAGAATATAAATGAAAAAGTATAAGTTATCCTTATTGAACTTTAAATTGAACCTACTTGGTTAACATACTACACATCATTAATTAGTTACAAACAATACACAATTATTAAATTACTATAGAACAAGCTGAAATATGATTCTATAGAAAAGAAAATCAAAATCTCAGATGTGACACAACTTCATAGATAACATTATATTGTATGAATGGTTGTCTCTATTGTTCTACACCAAGAACAATTTCCAATTGGAAGTAAATTCTATGTCAGATTTAGGTAGCAAATTATTCTTCACATTAAAGGATATGCCATACGATGGTTAATTCATGAAAATCTTGTGTAAAAACCGTATCAGCCCATGAGGAACCTCGCAAGTGCATGCATGTGTGTGTGTGACAGCAGAATTCCAACTTTGAAATTATGGTTACAATGACTCATGCAGATAGATATGAATTTAATGCTGGTCTGTGACCATAATAAAAATTGATTGGTTGATTGGTATGAATTTTCCAAGCAATTTCTACCTTTTCTCCAGTTTTGAAAAATTAGTCACTTCTTTCCAAATAGCATGGCCCACAGAATATGATGGAGCCTTTATTTTAAATCATTGCAAGGAGAAGCTCCACTATAGTTCTTGAGAAAGAATGGCCAAAGATTTATAAATTATATCTGCTTATGTATTATTTATTTATTTATTTATTAAATTTATATGTCATCAATCTCACTGATAAGGCTGCTCTGGGCAACTTCACCATATATACTGGTACTACTGTTTGATATTCTGGAGGATTAACTTTGTAACTTCCATTTCAGGACATTACGAGTAAAACAAATGGGGGAGAAATGAAAACAACAACAGCATCAACAACATCTTTTGAAGCTTTTAGATTTTCTCAGATGGGTGACTGATTCCCTCTTCCCCAGCTGCCATTACCAAGCTCACATAAAAGGCCCAGTCAAGTAATTCTTTATCAAATCAAAGACAGCAAGACCTTCTTCTTGAAAGTCTCTTAAAAGTTTAGGATGAGGAGGTAGGATTTGACTTTGATGTCAGGAACTCTTTTTGATGTAAAAATTTCTTTCACATCTATTTTCATCAATTACAGGCTGTAAAAAATAATTCTTAATGGTACCATACCTCCTCAAAATGATTGCCTTATTACCATCTCAAGGCTTTCCCCCACACCCCTGGCAAGAGGCAATCCTCTTGTCCTTGAACAAAAGGAGGTAAGTAGGTTACTTGGAAAACTGCTTCCTCCACAGCTTTTCCTTTGTTACACCTCTAAAAGAGGCTGACAGAGAGACAGTGATTTACTGCTGCTGCCAGATGAATGGAAAAGGGAATTCTTCTCCTTCTTTGCTGGCTCCTTCCCCCTCTCATTAGCCAAGCATGGATCCTCTGCCCTCTGCTGCCCCATACCTTAGTTCCATGATTGTTGGAGAGCCCCACCATTGGGCAAAGGGTGAATCTTTCTAAGGACAGTGGCTAGTTGTGGCTGATGGTGTGGGGACATAACATTCTGCCTAGTACCTAGTAGAAGAGTACCAAAGTAGCAGTGGGGTATTCCAAGGTTCTGTCTTAGGCCACTACTCTTCAATATCTTCATAAACAATTTAGAAGAGAGAATAGAAGGGGAACTCATCAAATTTGCAGATGACACCAAGCGGGCAGGAGAAGCCAACAAGATAGGGTCAAGATC